CCCCCCCCCCCCCCCCCCCCCGCGGGGACGCCAGAAAAACGCTGCAACCGAACCCAACTGTCTCGGAAAAAAGTGGACAACAATCCAACTGTTTTCTAGCAAGGCACCCCCGTCACCGCTTCCAGTACCATACCTTGCGCGAGACGATCTGGGGGCGAGCGAGAAAAGTCACATCCCGTTCGACTGTGGCTATGTTTCGAACGGGTCGTGTTTCTGCATCACTTTTCCTCGAGATGACGTTTTCCCTCGTCCCCTGTGTCCAATGCACGCCCCCCTCCCTCCCTCCCCGCCGTCTTGTCAATCCACACCCCGTGCCTGGTGCGCTGCACGGCGTGCTCGTTTTTTCGCCACCTCGCCACGAAGGACTCCCAGCTCCGAACGGCAAGCAGCTGTTCGAGCTGGTGTACTCGTGTCGAAAACACGGCCCCGACGGGGAGGAAGTAGTGCTGACGTCACTGGAGGAGTGCGGGATGGTGGCCGAGCCCTGCGTCGACGCCGGCACGAACCCCGGCATCTCAGAGGTCACCTACCAGGTAAACAAGAGTGCTCGCGGCCCAGGTACATAGGGTGGCATCAGCATTGTTCGCCTTGGGGAGTAGGAGGAGGAGGAGGGGGAGGAGGAGGGGAGGAGGAGGAAGGCGGAGTTACTAAAGCAGAGACAACTTTGTATTTGAACAAATATTGAGAAGACAGAACTACATCATTAACGATATAAACAAACCGGCAGGATGCTCTGTTCATTTTTCGACGAGCAAAGTGCCACTTAACGATACGATGAGTGCTTGTGAGGAAAATACGAAGGTAGACCTCGCGTCGCTTTCCTTTCGGACCTGCAATGAATTCAGCTCCCTTTGCGTTTTCTCGACGATATTCATGACGCTTCACAATGGATGATTTGAACTCATGGTGAACACACCCACCCGCAACTCACTGCTACTACGCGAAAGATTTTCGCCACGTGTGGGTTGAGCAACAGCAATGGCAACAAATCATTCAGTCGGCAGACATGATATGAATGTTTGGGTATCGTTGGTGGCAACTCACGCGCGAGGCAGGGGCCTCTGCGTACTTAGGGTTAGGGCTTAACCCTACTCCGCGATATGTCTTGCCCTCAGCGATTGCAGCCGGCCCGCCACGCAAGAAAGTCCGCACTCCCTCATTGTTCTTGTCTCCACGCATGGAAAACGGAAGCTGAGGATATCAGATCATGCGTCATGCTCGTGTACAGAGTGTTGCATTCTAGGAACGTGCGTTCAATCCATGACCCTCCAGTTTTCCTTTGGGCACACGTGGCCTCAAGCTCCGTCATATCTTTGTCCAGGCACCCGAGCTACACGCCTTCGGCTATGTTATCCGAAACGCCAAAACGATTCAGAAACAAGCAGGCAGCGTGAACAACAGTCGTGATACCTGCCTCTTTCGAGAGCGAAGGCGTTGGTGACGTTCCCGCTTTGTCTCCCTCCGCCCCCGGTGCCCAGGTTGCTTTCGAGTTTGAGGCTCAGCCGTACGACGTTAGCGTGGACGTGAAGCTGTTCTTCAACTACCTGAAGGCCGGTGACAAGTTTCACGCCAAGAGGTCGGAGAACGCCGTGCGCTGCTTGCTGAGCGAGACCTGCCACCGGAGGCGAGTCTGTCTATATGCGCTTGCCTGGACTATCGAACCGATTCCGTTGGCTGCCTCCCACCGTTTCTTTTCGTTGTCTGTCTGTCTGTCTGTCCATCTGTCTGTCTTTCCCTCTCTCGCTCTCTCCCTGTCTCTCTCTCTCTCTCTCTCTCTCTCTCTCTCTCTCTCTCTGTGGGCCTTCTGCGCGAGTTCTGTCCTTACCGTTGTTTTGGGGTATGTGCGCATTTTTCTTTCTTTTGAAGGATGGCATTACAGCTATTATTTTCTCAATTTACTACCCCACACGTAAAGTCTATCGCCACGAAACCCGGAACTCGGTTTGCTGTGAGTGAATCTCGAAACCGGCAGAGGTTGGCGTTGAAGTTGAATTCAGATGGTCGCGAGAAATCTATGTTTCCAAAGAGTTTTAATCTCCACTTGGAGGCGGAATGAATGTTGGCGTTTTGCCATCTTGGAGCAACCTCTTCACCACGGGTCTTGCTCGCTGTTATTAGGCGCCTCTCGTTCACGTCCCACCGTTTCATCTCTGTCAGGTTCTCACGCGCGTGTGAAACGACATGTAACATTATTGAATCCACGACATGAAAAACAACAAAACACCATAACAAAAAACGCAGATGCGAGTCCGGGGAGTGGAGCTTTCCTGCCGAGCTTCGCGACAGCATGGGCGACGGCTGGAACGCCGGAGGCATCAACCTCTTCGACCACTTCCGGTTGGAAAGCCGCAGCGAGCTCACAGCCGAAGTCTCCGCGATGATGAGCTCCGATGAGGCCAACACCGCCGCGGCGCCGTCGCCGGCGGCCCGCAGAACCTCCTACCTCAACACGATGCTGGGCGGCTCCGCCCGCACGGTGCCCCTCTGCCTGTCCGACGGCGAGTACCTCTTTTCGACGCAGTTCCACACGCCGGGCCCCGACGACTCCAGTCACGCCTTCGATGTCGCCGGCCGCCTCTTCTCTGAGTCGACCTGGACCTTCTGCGGGCACAAGGGGACGCTCGCGGACTATACCCACGTTCGCGTGGCGGGGGGCCTGTGCACCCCGATCGCCGGCTGGGGGGAGACCGCCGCCCCTTCCGCGACGCCCTTCCTGGGCGCCACGCTCGTCCCAACTCCGGCCCCAGGCACCGGCACCGGCACCACCGACGGGGCTGACGATACCGACGACGAAACGAACCGCAGTGTCGGAGGCGGCGACGACGGAGGCAGCGGCAGCGGCAGCGGCAGCGGCAGCGGCAGCGGCAGCGGCGACTCCCTCACGGACCTCCAGATCTTCGCGATAGGTTTCGGCGCACTCGCGCTCGCGGGGCTCGCCGCGGCGGGTGGCACGTACGCGCAGAACAACAGCTGGTTCGCCGGCGCCGCGGGCGGGGGCGCGGCGGGGGCCGGCGCCGCTGGCGGCGGCGCACCGAATCCAGACGTCGATGAGTTCGCCCCTTAGTTGGGTGGGACGTACCGGTTTACGGGAACGGTATGTCTTCGCGGGATGGGACCGGGACGGGTTTACCGGCTCACGGAAACGGAAGTGTCTTCCGGGGATGGGGTGCAGAGGAGAAAGAAGAAAGAGTGTTGTTTCTAGTTTGTGCTCTTGGTGGTGGCAGATTTATGTCTGTCTGTGCAACATCATTGAACCCCGTGTAGTGCGTGAAAGGATGTGCGGCAGCTAGAGCAGCTCGTCGGTAGACATCACAGCAAGCTTCCTTCAAACGCCACCGTTCTCTCGTAGAGAGTGTCTCGTGGCGCCCCCCTCTTCGTGACGTCACTAGAAAGTTCCTCGGTCGTTCGTTCGTCGCAACAATCCTTATGGTGAGGTCCCCGTAATATATATGGCGGGAAACAAGGCGCGGGTACCCGAAACGTGTGTGGGTGAAGAATCCCGGCACAGACGGAAGTATCGAGTTGTTCCTACACTTAAGTGTTACTTGTAAGACCGTGATAGTGCGGGCGATTTGCTTGGCTTGGCATGTACGCGCATTGTACAAGGGGCCTCTTGCTTCGCCCTGCCACCGGCAGACGGAAATAAAGATGGGCCGGAGACCGATTCAGCCTGGGCTGGGGTAGGGGGCAGAGGAGACACCCGGGCTTTCGGTTGATGGGCTTAAGAACCAACCGGTGGTGATGCTACTGCAACTCCGGGTTCAAATGAAGAACTGTTCTCTGCAAAGATGTCTCCCCAGAGCAATGGCGGTTGCCAAGGTGCTGTCGGCCATCGTTGCTGTTCGTGTCGTTGTAATTGTTACTTTTCGCGGTTGAATGTTACTGTTGGTGTTCTTGTCTATATGAGGATCTCATTTTTGATGGTGCTTGCGAGGCTGGCTACAGATGTACGAAGGCCGGGTGGGAGTCGCCCTCTCGCTCCGTTTTTAGATACATCGCGGCAAACTTTAGGCTAGTATGTGCACAATCTCGTCGGAGTGCAAGAGATGAACAACGTGTTGCAAGGCAAGCAGAACATGGCGTCCCTTCAGTCCTTTATTTTTTACTGCTGATGTTTCGTTCCGGGTTTCCATCTGAGGGCAGGCCTTGACTGCTCTTGGGAGGGTGGGGAGGCACGGTTAGTAGCGCGAATTAGATGGGGTGCGTCGAAGAGACTGATTCCAGGTAAATAAAGTGCTGCCCCTTGTTAATCGGAAATAATACGACTTGTGTGTGAGTCTTTCCCGAATAGTTCACTGCTGTAAGTTTTTTTTTTTTCCTTGTGAGACCTCGTGCTGCGTCGGCACATCGAGGGTCTCGCCTTGTGTAACAATTCCTTCCGCGGAGCAATCGCGGGGTGGTTTTCAGCGCAGAAGCAAATAAATGTAGTTATCCGTGTGTATTTACTGTAAACTAACATCCAATCAAGAATGAAATACTTTCCATCGATCTCGGTCCGGCATGTAACGAATAATCCCGCACAGCTCCTGGCGGGCAATCGGTCGCCCTGCGGGAGCCAAGCAATGATCAACTGGGGCACACGCGAGGGAAGAACCCCGTGAAAGAACGTGGTCATTGGTAGAAGCGCATGGTCGCCATGCAGCAACTTCTTACTACTTGCCTGGTCTCACGCGCAATCCGCGCGGTGTTATACCGAGCGCAAGTACGTTGCGTACGTCATCGACCACCACCTCCAGTTTCATGTGCCCGAACATATTTCGAGCACGGATAGATGCATGATGTGCCTTCCGTCAGTTCTTTAGCCAGTCCGGAACAATCCTTTGGACCGCCAAAAAAAAAAATCCGTGTGGGTTCCTCCTCCCTCTGCTACCTTGTACACAACCCCAACGGCGGAAATGCCGCCTGCAATCGAGCCACGCTGCAAAACTTCGATGGCGAAGATCCGAATGTCGACAATGGATCCTCCAAGCAACCGAGTCCGCAAAACATCTCACACGACCTATATAGCTACCCTGAATCAACACCGGTTAATTGTATGGCGTATGCCGTGCTCGCGGCCTTGTTTGTGACGTGGACGTCGACACACCTCGGCACTCAAACAATTTACCCTCATTATAACCGAAAACTACATTTTCACCCACTTGCGAGATCATTCCCTAGGCCACAAACTGCGAACACAGGTGAAGCGGCAGCTTAAACCACCACCATCACCGACACTGTTACCCCCCCCCCCAAATGAATACATACCGCAAACCGACAGCAGGCAACGGTGGGCAGCCACTATTCGGCGCACTTACAACCATGTTTATTCCGACGGGCACCGGTTATTCGTGAGAAGAACGCAGCACAACCAACGTCTTTTAACCGTGTGGCCGGAGCAAAACGGGACGGGACACAAACGCGTCTTGCGCACCAAGATCCCGCGGTTGGTTGCAGTCACGCACTTCACCTACCTGTTCTTCCCAAGCATGTATCAACACCCCCACTCTTACAAAGCCCAGCTCAGTACCGCCCCCCCCCCGTACTCGCGAAGTCCCCGGGAAACTCCAATCTCACAGTCCCGGCACATCCCGCGATCCCCAGGTAATTGTGTACTGGGATACACAACGTTTCGCCGCCCCATGTCTGGACTCACGACCCCCCCGCGGGTGTTACATTTTGCGAGACAATCAACCTTGTTGTCGTCGCGATCCTGCTGCGGCACAACATCTACAGCTGTCTCGTTTTTCCAGAGAGAGAAGGAGGGCACCAACACATCTACTGTTCCAGACCGGTTTAAGCGTTCCGGGGCCATCATCCCTCTCCCCTCTCCTGTCGGAAGTCGAGACGGGTTGCAAGCTCTTTCGCGGCGACAACTCGCCAACACGTTAACCTCGCATGAACACCACTATGCGACAAACATACACAAACTTGNGGGGGGGGGGGGGGGGGGGGGGGGGGGGGGGGGGGGGGGGGGGGGGGAATGGCAACACCCACGTCGGGGCCCCTAGCCGAAGGCGGGGGGCGGAAGCCACCGCCCACGCCGGGGGGCCAAGCCACGCGACAACCACAAGCAACATCAACAACTACTTGTCCCCCTCGCACTCCGCCGCCGCTGCATTCTCTTCCGCCGCCTTCGCCTCCACCGCCTTCATATGCTTCTTCGATCGCCCCTCGTCCTCGTCCTCTTCCCCTTCCCGGTCCCCGCCCCCCTGTTTCCTCTTCCCGTCGTCTGAGGTGTCCATGTCGCCTACCGCCGCCGCCGCCGTGACTGACGCGCCGGTTAGCGCCCTCGCTCCCTCGGTGTTGAGCCTTACGATGACGGCGGTAACGTTGTCGAGGCCTGTGCCGTCGCCGTCGGCAGTCTCGGCGCAGCAGGCGTCGCAGAGGTCGGCGCAGGCCTTGCTCAGGGGGGGCTCGTCGCCGGAGTCCTTCAGCCTCGTCCGGACAAAGTCGATCGTCTGTATTTGAGAGGGTACAGAAAACACAAGAGATACCTTCGGAGTTAACACATCTGGGGATATCGCGAGAAATAACTAGCCGCGAGGCACAAGCGGGAGATTCACAATCTGGGGACGAGAGAAAAACTATTTAGCCGCGAGGCCCAACACCACACCTCTCTTACCACTTCCACGCGCCAAGTAGAGTTGAATTAGTAGTGTTGAATTCCTTTGGCCACCCGTCCAAAACACCTCCACGGGATGCTCATTGCCACGAGAAGAGGCAAAAGAAAAAAAAGACCCCGCGGAAGGTGAACGGTCTACCGACTACTGCAATACGTGTACATGAGTACTCCGCGCTCGCCCGTCTCTATTGTCTTGCCCTGAATACAACGTCAGCAAGGCCAAGGACATTCACAGCCAGCGGTGAATTCACAATTTACCCCGGAAGACCACACAACACAGGTACACAAGAAAATCCACACCCCACGGCACCCGCCTTAACGTACCTCCTGACTGCTGAGGGAGTTCCACACGCCGTCGCAGGCGAGCACAATGAACTCGTCCTGCGGCGTGAGCTCCAAGGTCTTGAGCTCTGGGTCTGCGGTTATCATCTGCTCCTCGGGGGACAGGGCCTCGTCGGCCTTGTACATGAGGTCGCCTATCGCCCTCGATAGGTTCAGATTGCCCTGACCGACGATCAAGGTACAGATATAACGCACGCGTTTTAAGAAACGTCAAATTGGGGTCCAGGCTCAATTTCTTGTTTCGTCGCCACCGTCAAGCGCAGGTCATGATATGGAGTTTGGCGTAAGATTCACGGCTGAGGTGTGTCTCTTGGTCGGATTGTCTTGTGTCGCCGAAATCTGAGCATCTGCTTCTTCCCGTTTTGGGTCAATCGCGGGCTTGTTTTATCGCCAAAGTCTGAGCCCTTGTTGTAAAAGGGTGGGTTTCTTCGTCGATGTTCTTTTGTTCAACGCCAAAATCTGGGGCTTTGATTATCAAAGGGTGGTTTCGATGCTATATTTGCAAGAGCGTGGATATCACCTCAGGATGTCTCGTAGATCGTGGCGTATCAGCTGACCTACCGGAGATCTACCTTCCTGGTGTTAGGTACCGCAGACTAAGTGGCACAAATAACTTTGAGCCGCAGCGCGGACCATGAGACAACTGTCTCAAACAAGAAATGCTAAAAAACAACTACTTCGAAGTACATGTCACACATCAACATTGAATTGTAGAGGCAAGTTGTGTCCTCACCAAAAAACGAAAAAAAACACAAGACAATAAAGTAAACACCATCCGATCATTAAATATATACTGCTGAAGAACCATAGAACAAAGTGTGTACTGCTCGGTGGACCTCAGAAGCATAACTTGGTCACCATTCAACACAATTCGTTGGTAAATCTATTCTACCAGGGACTCTCATCTGAGGAAGAGAGAGGTGGATTTCTGGTGTTCCTTTCAAGAATATAAAAAACAAACAAAAACCGGTGATGATGAGTTGGTAGGATAGCAAGTGGAAAAATCAAACGGCCGCAATCCATGGCCAGCAGTGCAAAAAAAAAGACTGCATCACAAGAAGCGTTTTGATGTTAGACACGCTGTTCCGTTTTTCCGAATGGGGAAGAGCACATTCTTGAAATAATGTTTCTGTTCCTGTAGAAAGACGCCACCTAAACACTCCCCTTTAACCTTTCAAAATAATGTACGAGGAAGTGTAGAACAAGCGGCTCACCTGAACTCTGCCGTCCACGACAGCCCCACCGGCCTTCTCGATCCGATTGAGCTCGATGTCGTCCTCTGGCTTGTGGTCGGTCGACATGTCCACCGCCACGCCATTGCGGCTTACCACGCACCTTCCACCGGACACATTGTTTTTGTAATTTCGCAATACACGAGGTCGAAGGATTTTGTTTAGAGTCAACCACATCCTCCAACTTGTGAAGACTGGCGCCAGAATGAATCGGACGAACAAAAAAACGCACAGCCAGCACACGCACGCGAGTTTCGAGGCAGGCGTCAGTCGAAGCCGTTCACCCACGGTGATAAAGCAAGTCTGTTTCCGCCGCCGCAATAGCGCGTGCTTGATGGGCAAAACGACAAAAGCGAGGACGACGGGCGGTTTGCCAGGAAAATGGCAGGACTGCCCATGCAAAGAAAGTGAGGTAAATCCGAAAAAAAGACAAGGGGGCACGCAGACCTAACCCCAACTGGCCAATTTTTTACTTTATCCATGTTTGCTTACTATGAAAAACCTGCGTAGACTACCGGAACCGCACCGGAAGTGACTCCCCGCCAGCCGTTACATCTCACCATTTGTTGCCGTTACATCACATCATCACATCATTTGTTGCCGCTACACCACGTCATTGTTGGCCGTTCCTATCACCGCCTTCACCTCGAGTCTCCCGCGTTAGCGACGACGAGAGTCTTCCCGCCGACCAGCAGTCCCATCACGGCAGTTGCCCCGCAATCGAACCCGCATCGTCGGCGCGCGCCCGNGGGGGGGGGGGGGGGGGGGGGGGGGGGGGGGGGGGGGGGGGAGGGGGCGCCGTACACGGGGATCGTCGTGTTGGTGCCTTAGGCCATGGTAGGCCCTAGCCGATGGTGGGTGCCACATAAACTTAGCGCCTCAAACGCTGCTGGTCGTATCTCCGTTTGCAGGTCGCTTCCACAAACCTGCGCTGTAATCCATCAACCACGGAATGGAAGGGGTGGGACCACGCAACATCAAAACACAACGTAGCACCCCTCCCCCCTTTAAACAGTTTCCCCGTGCCTCTGCCTCCATCTCCATATCTCCATCTCCTCGTCGCTGTCGGTCTCCCTGCCTATCTGTCTGTCTCTCTATCCCTCCTGAGAACCGAGTAGGTGCACAGCACCATGGGAGCTTTGAAGCTGGAATTGATGAATGCATAGGGTTTCCCGAGTGGGAGGCAACCGTCGACCAACGTGGAGAAACTGCCCAGTACCCTTCGCAGGGTTTGTCGATTAAGTAAATATGATGGATAAAACATACAATCAGGGAAGTTGGTTTAGGGTCAGGGTTCGGGAATAGGGTCTACGTACCCCCTCCTTCTATTTCCTTACAACACTGCATTTCCGGCGAAGGCGTTCGACACTGCGGGTTCCGGCTACAAACCTCGAAGCCCTTTCCTAGTCTAGCAAACAAGAAGCCCACAAAAAGCGGGGTCACTCGACCTTTCAAGAGGGTCACATCTCTGCCATGTCCATCGAGGATAATCCCCTATTTTTCCGAGTACCCACGAGTACCCCCCCCCCCCCCCCCCCCCCCCCCCCCCCCCCCCCCCCCCCCCCCCCCCCCCCCCCCCCCCCCCCCCCCCCCCCCCCCCCNCCCCCCCCCCCCCCCCCCCCCCCCAAGTAGCCTTCGCGAGGATATTTATCTTCGTTCTAGGAGGGGGCAGGGGTAGGGGCAGGGACACGAAACCCCGTTCTCTATTTCATGGACTAATAACAAATCCTCGGGAAGGCGCCCCCCCCTATCTGACGACTACGGCATGAATGACTATGAGTACTCCCCCCCCCTCCCCCTACTAGTCTTGTCGATCACTGCTGTCTCCTGGTCCTTACCGCTAGAACCATCGGCCCACTCCTCCGCCGTCGAGTTCGCCTCCTCCATGTCCCCCTTGGCTCCCTCTCCGCCCTTCGCTGCCCGCCCGTCTTCCTTCTCCTCAGGCTTATCCTCGGCGTTACTCTCGCCCGCCGGAACGGCTTTCGTTGCTGGTGCTTCTGCTGCTGCTGGAGAACCAGCAGCACCCTCCCCCGTCTTCGACTCCTCTCCATTGTCCCCCCCCCC